ACCAAGGCTGGGAAGTCTCAGGTGGAGGAGAAAGGTAAGTGTTGGGCTGCAGGGATCTTAGAATCATGTAATCATTAAGGTTGGAGAAGCTCTCTAAGACAATTGAGTTTAACTGTTCCCCCACCACTAACCACGTCCCCAAGTGCCACATATACGTGGTTTTTAAATCCCTCCAGGAATTGTGACTGCATCCTACCCTGGGCAGCCTCTGCCAGTGCTGAATGACCCTTTTCATGAAGAAATTTTGCTTTTTATCCAACCTAAACGTCCTCTGGTACAACTTGAGGCTGTTTTCTCTGGTCCTAATGCTTGGAGCACAAACCTGCCCCAAAACCTCTCCTCTTGGCACTCACCACTCTTGGTTGGCTCTGCCCCTGTGGTCTCTGCCCATGGCTGCCCCTCACACCCTCCCTGCATATCCCATGGTGCCAGACCCTGCTAGCAGCATGGGAGCTGCTGCGGGGTCTGACTAGGGGAGCAGAGCTTGAGGGATCTGGTGGTATCTTTCTCCACAGATAGCATGGACTTCTCCAGCATGACACTCACCCAGATCAAGCGTCAGGAGATGGACTCACAGGTAGGAGATTGCCACGTTTTCATAAACAGACCCAGGCAAGTCTCTCTTGGGCTGCCTGGTGTGGGGCATCAAATTTGGGGTCACCATGCCCAGCTGCCCCCAGGTAGCACAAGCAAAGGCAAAGCCCAAGGTGTGAAGGCAACAGATGGGTTTGCCCAGGCGTCACATGCTCTTGGTCCTCAATCCCTCCCCGATGCTGTTCCCATCATGACGTAGCAGTCTGTGGCCACCCTGACCCCTGTGTGCTACTCACAGCACCCATCTCTGTCTGGCATGGGGCAGCTCTGGGAAATTCCCCTGCCTGGGATGCCCACACAGATCATTGTGCCTTCACCTGTCTGCACAAGCAGTGCCCATCTGAGCTCCATCCCCTCCCCAGCTCCACTTGTCATTGGAGCACTTGTGGGATGCGCCTCTGTGGTCTTTGGCCTTGATGTTGGGGGCATAATGGGTGTGAAAGGGGAGTGCTTGGCCCAGCTCTGTGCTGGGGTGGGCATGTCCTGGGCCATGTCCCCAGGTGCGGGTGCTGGAACTGGAGAACCAGCTGCAGAAGGAGCGGCAGAAGCTGGGGGAGCTGCGCAAGAAGCACTACGAGCTGGCTGGCGTGGCGGAGGGCTGGGAGGAGGATGGTGAGTGGTGCCAGCCCTGCTCCAGCTGGGCAGCTGCGCCCGGAAAAGGTGGGGCAGGGTGGAGAAGCCCTGCCTGCCATCAATGGCAGTGAGAAGGTTTGCTGCAGCTGGCACAAGCCTGGGGATAGTTGGCACACATGGGCAAATCCTATGGGGTCTCTCCACAGGAAAAACCCCAACATGTGGGATCTACATCATCCCCAGGCAGGGGACTCAAGTGGTGCTAGAGCAGCCTTGTAGTCTCAGAGGTGGGGGGCAGAGGGATGCGGGTAGACAGCACGCCCACTGACCCTGTCTTCCCACTTATAGCTACAGATTAGCACCAGTGGTAGAAGCAGCCCACAGGGGACACCTGGAACCCTGTGGGGGACACCCCTGGGACCCCACTTGGTGCAGTCTGTTGAGAAGAACCCCAAGGAAGTGGTGCAGAAGCCCCCCTGAAGCACACGTCCCCTGTGTCCCCCCAGGAGCCGCCTCTAGCACCAGAGCCGAGCCGCCAGCAAGGCCCCAGGGCTGGGGCGAGGGCGCAAACCGCACCTGTATTTATTAGAGCTGCTGGGGGTGGGGGGAGGTGTCTACATGGGGGTCTTTAACCCTTTAGTTTTGTTTTTGCACAGATTCTGGGAACTCCTAGAGCCTTCTCTGGCTGAGCGAGAGTGGTCGGGCTTCTCTTGCCTCTCGCTGCTTTTCCAGCCTTAATCCAGCCCCTGGCTCAACATGAACGTTCCGTCCCCGCCCCCCGCCCCCCCCCCGGCCTGGGAATGAGCATGCTGAAGGCCCCGGGGTTGCCACCAGGTGGGGGACAGCCTTTGGGGTGCTGCTGGGCTTGGTGCTAAGAGTGCTCCCCCTCGGCGGGGACACCGAGTGCCTTTGGCCACTGCAGGCTGAGAGGTGGTGTTCTCATGGGGTACCCTGGCTGGTGACACAGGGTGCTAGGAACAGCTAGGAAAGGGGCAGCAGCAGAAGGGATGCTGCCATGAGCTCCTGTCCCTCATTCCAGGTCCCCAAAATGCCTCCCAAGCCCCCCTGAGCTGGGCTGCTCTGCCCTGACAGTTCACTGTGTTCATGCCAGCAATAAACCCTCCGCAAGGTGCTGGGTGTAGGTTTGGGCCACCACGGTGGCACCGCACAAGCCACCAGCTCCTGGGAACAGGGGGTGACTCTAGGGCAGCAGGTTTTGAGGGGAAGCCAGGGTGCCCCAAAATCAGAGCACCCCACAGCCAGAGTAAGCAGCTCCCTGTCTCTGCTCACTTTGATGCCACCCTGGTGTCATTGCCAGCCTCTTGGGTGCAGGGGGACCAGGGCCAGTGTGGCTGTGGGCAGGCGTGGCCATGGAGCTGGCACCAGCCAGGGAACCTTTGTGCCTTGAGCAGGGGGCTCAGAGGGCAGGGGGCATGAGCCACCTCTGGGCCCCCCAGCTCATCTCGCTGCAGTGGAGACAGTGAAGTCAGACCATGCAGCAATGTCCCCATCCCCCACGGTCCTGCTGGTGCCCCTGCTGGGGCCACTGTCCCTCCACTCGGGGTGCTGAGGACAGGATTTAGTCTTTCTCCTTCTGGGAAGAGGCTGGGCTGTCACTGGTGCTTTCCCAGCAACATCCACCCGTCAGCATGCAGCTGGCACCTGGAGCAGTGGGACCTGCCACTACCGTGGCCTCAGAGCTGCCCCCCCTTCACGCAGCCATCCAGCGTGCAGGGGCCACTGTTCCCATGTCCGCCGCCAGCCCTGCTGCCGGACCACCTGCTCTGTGCACCAGCCCACCAGAGAGACCTGGGGTGCTGCTGCTTCCCCATCCTCAACCCATGCTGGCTCTCCTTGGATGCAATACCAACCATCCCGTTCCTGCAGGACACAGGGAGCCCCAAAACCCTCCCCGCTATTTTTGGGGGGAGTCTCGCCTGCACGCCCAACTACCTCAGGCCTTGGGGCCCGGGAGCGGCATGGGGGTCACAGTGGCAGTGGGGGCTTGGGGACAGCGGCACTGCTCTCGGCCTAATCCACTTGTCCCTTTTGTATCTCAGCCAGGCATGGGCAGAGGGGTCCCTGCGGTGTCCCCAGTGATGGCAGCTGGTGACGGGGATGGCGGGGGTGCCCCCCCACTGCAGGGCAAGTTGATTTGGGTTTTCATTGTATGATAATGACCATGTTTGTTTTGGATTTTTCAATAAAGCCTTCAGCTCAGCCCCGCAGCTTGAGGAGGGACACAGGGGACCTGTGTCATAAGGGGGTTGTGGGTTCTGCCTTCATCAGTGTGCTCAGTGGCCCCCAAAATCACTTGGTGTTGAGCTGACCCAGGTGTTCTGCTGATGACCTCCAGCCTTTGCCCCCATTGTCCCGCGCCGGTGTGTCCCTGTGGACAGCCTGCATGTCACCTGTTTTTGCTGGGAGGGCACCAGGATGTGGTCCCAGCCCAGCCCTGAGGAGCACAGATGGCTTTGTCCTCCCTTCCTGGGAGGATGATGCTGCAGTGGGGAGGCCATGCAGATCATCCTGTCACCCCGGCAGAGCCGGGTGGCCCACGTGCTGGGTGGCCCGTGGAGTCCACAGACAGGGATCTCAAGGGAATGTCCCCTCCTAAGCATGGTTCACCCACCCTGGGCAGCACCTAGTGTCCTCCAGCCTTGCCAGGGCCACCTGGACCCCTGGGATGCAGAAAGCGCTGTGACAGCAGCCACTGTCCCTGTCATTGTTCCTGCCCTGCAGAACACAGCTGACTGGCAGCGGGGTGGCATATCCCCAGGGACAGCCATGTCTCCTGAGGAGCCCAAGGGCTCAGCCCGCCAGAGAGAATTTCCCACAGTTCCCAGCGCTGTCCTCAGAGCAGGATGGTGGCAATGGCACCCTTCAGCTGAGACACGGGGACAGGCTGGGCACGGCGGTGACGGGGGAGAGGCAGGACTCCACCCGTGGGACACAAAGGCAGATATGGGGTTGGGACTGGAGACATGAGGACACGGAGGGACTGGGACACGGGACACAGAGGCTGGAATTATGTAGGGCGGTTGTTAGAGACAGGACGGGAACACAGGGACCGGGAGAGGGAGGACACGGGAATTGGGATGGTACACTGTGGATTGCAGATGGGGAAATTGGAAGCTGGAAGGGATGGGGGTGGGGCAAGCCCGAAGGTCCCGGTGGGAACAGGGGCACATGGCCTGGAGCAGGGGAGATGGATGACGGGGGGAGACCCTGGCCGGGGAAGCAGAAGGGCGGCCAGCGGCGCCATGAGGGCTCACGGGGGCGAGCGCCGCCCGCGCCGCGCGCAGCACGCCGGGAGCCCGCGGGGACAGGGCCGGCCGCGCTCCCGAGGAGCCCCGCCTATTCCGGGCCCCGCCCATCTACGCAGCTGGAAGCGCCGCTCACGCCAGAAGCTCCGCCCCATAAGGCCACGGCTCCCGCGTTGACGCAAGAGGGCCGGCCCCGATCGCCCCGCCCCCCTCATTTAGCCCCGCCCACCCATGGGGCCCCGGCTCCTCCGTGCATGCCGGCAGGACGCGTCGCGCTGACTGGAAGCCCCGCCTACTAGGCGTGTCCCTCCACCTAAGCCCCGCTCCCGCGGTACGCGCCGAGAGGGCCGGCCGTGCTCATCCTAAGCTCCGCCCACTCGGTATGCTTCCCCCCCCGCTGTTAAGCCCCGCCCCGCCCGCCCTGTGTGGCGCTGGGCGCGGCGGGCGCCTGGTGTGCCATGCGGCCCGGCCCGCCCGCGCCGCGCCCGCCCAGCAAAGCCGCCGCCAACGGGGGCCCGGCCGCGAGGGCCGCGCCGCGTCGCACCCAGCCGGGGTAAGCAAGGGGAAGATGGGGGTAGAGCGGGCGGGGAAGCCCCAGACCGCGTCGGAGGCGCTGACTGCGCTCTGTCCGCACAGGGTCCCACGCTGCCGGTCGCAGGCCCCGCGCCGCCGGTACCCGCTGCCTGAGGCCCGGCCGGCCGTGCCGCTGTGCTTGCCCGCCGCCCGCTGGGAGGGCGGCTCCCCCCGCAGCACGCCTTGGGCCCGCCGTGCCGGGCCGCTCCGCAGCCCCGTCACCGTGAGAATCGCCCCGCCGGCCGTCGGCGTCGCCCGCTCCCCGGCGTGAGTACGAGGGAGACCGGGACACACGTGGGGGAGCCCGGTTATCAACCGCGGTGGGGAGCAGGACACACTGTGGGGTGCGCTCAGCCGACTGTGCTGTGCCCGGGAGCGGCGTCCCATCCCGACCGCTACCATGTGGCTGGGGGAATGGTGCTGTCCAAACATCCGGGAAGGGCTGCAGGGGAGAGCTGTGTTCTCCGTTCTGTGTGGGGATCAGACCGGGGACCCCAGCCTGCCTCACACCTCACTCTGCTCTGTTCTACAGTCTAGAACAGCTGGTCTCGCCTCTGGCCTTCCCAGCCACCAGCAGCCCTGACCCATGTGCAAAGGAGACTGTGCTGAATGCCATCAGGGAGAGCAGGAAAAGGGCTGTGGAGGAGGAGGACCACCAGACTTTTGGGAATGATCAGGAGAGCAAAAGAAGGTAAAAAGGGAGCAGTTCCAAGTTGCAGCCAGTGTGTTGGGAAGGTCACAGATGGGATTCTTGCTCCAGAAGTGACAAATGGGATGTGTCCCAGAGTTTGCCAGGCCCCATGAGACCTGGAGTCAGGGCTGGAAAAGTACTGTGAGAAGTGAACTGCAGAGCACACCCTATCCATGACCCAGCCCTTGGTGCTGCATCTAAAAGTCCTCCTTTGCAGCTGAAGGAATGTGGTTTAGGTATAGGTCCAGTGTGTTACCCTGCCTGGCTGGGATGTGTTTTGGGAAGCCTGGGTGGGTAGTGGCTTGTCTCCTCAAAGGGGTTTGAAGACTGGAAAAGCATGGTAGGAAATGTTGGTATCTGCTGTGGGCTCTGTCCTTCTGTCAGCCCTAGACTCCCAGGAGAGATGGGATTAGCAGGTGGAAGCATTGCACTTGGAGAGCTCCAAGCACTTCCCTTGTGAGCTGATCTAGCAGAGGGAGGTGAAACAAAAGAGTAAATGAGACACCGTCTGCTGCTTTTGTTACTCAAGGTCAGCAACTTCCATCCCCGAGTTCAAAGGAGGGAGGGTGCTGTGTTTTTGCCAGTGTCCATAGGAATAGGGACACATAGGAACATAGGACAAGGAGCAAATCTTGAGAGCCATGGTCTGCCAGACCCTTTCCAACCCCCCAGCCACAGCACTGCCTTGCTCTCCCACCCTCCTGCTTTTCCTAGAATCACAGAATGATTTGGAAGGGACCTTAAAGGTCATCCAGTGCCACCCTCTGTAATAGGCAGGGACACCCTCCACTAGACCAGGTTGCTCCAAGCCCTGTCCAACCTGGTCTTGAATGCTTCCAGGGTTGAGGCAGCCACACTTTCTTTGGACAGCCTGTTCCAGGGCCTCACCACTCTTAGAGGCAAGAATTTATTCTGTATGTCCGGCCTAAATTACCCTGCTTTCAATTTTAAGCCTTTCCCTCTTGTCCTATGACTGCACTTCTTGATGCAGTCCTTCTCCAGTTTCTTTGCAGGCCCCTTCAGATCCTGAAAGGCTGCTGGGATCTCCCCACAACCTTCTCTGCTTTAGGCTGAGCAGCCCCTGATGTCTCAGCCTGTTTCCATAGGGAAGGTGCTCCAGTCCCCTTACCAAATTTGTAGCTCTTTTCTGGACTTGCTCCAACAGTTGCCTCATCCTTCTTAGTGGTGTCCATGGAGGCTTTTCCATCTGGGCTGGCATGGGGAGCTGAGACGCTGCTTGGGCAGTGCCTGGGGCATTGTCCTGCCCCAGGGCTGCTGCTGGAGGTGGCCCAGGGAGCAGAGCAGGGTAAAGCAGGGCACACCTCTTCCAGCACTGAATTCCCATCTCTGAATGCTTGGCTCATTGGATCTGAGCCTCACAAGAGCCAGACAGGACGACAGCAGAATGGGTGCACAGACAAGATCAGCTCATTTTTCTTTAAACTCTTTTTGTAACACGCCAATACACAGCTCTGCCACAGAAGCCAGTTTTGAAGGCATTAATGTCTGGCAAGCATGAGGAATGGTTGTAGGTAGAAAATTTTGTGTACTTGGTGGACAGAAAGGAGCTGTGTCAGCTGGAGAGTGTGGGACCACCTGTGCCTTGAAGTCAGCTTGCCCTGGGCTTGAGGGGAGCGCCTGGCCAAGTGACCAAGTGGCAGGGTTGTCCTACACCTCCAGTTCCACTTTACAGCAGGGTGTCTTGTGATTTTGACACTTCAGATCCTCATGAAATCATAGGGGGAAGGGGAATTCAGTTTTTGGCTTGAACTGTCCAGAGCATGGATTAGGAAGAGGTCAGAGGTGGGAAGTTCAGAGCTCAGATATGTTCAGAAAGACTGAACAGCTCATTTCTGGAAGTATTTTGGCTTAGAGTAATGGATTTAAGCAAAATTTTTTTTTACACTAAACTACTGTTTCAAGCAGGCAGCTGGAAGACCTCCTGGTGTTTGGGATGAGGGTTGGTGAGGACAGGCCCACAGCAGGAGAAAATCTGCAACAGGGTATAGCTGGGGGAAAGCTCTGTCTTGAGTATTGGGTGCCAGGAAAAAAGCACTCTCTTTGGGTGCTCAGCCTGTCTTTCCCCAGGCTGGGAGAGGCTTCCACACTGCATAGGCTTTCACACTCTCTTCCCACAGGCGCCACGACAGCAGTGGAAGTGGGCAGTCAGCATTTGAGCCACTGATAGCCAATGGTGCCCCTGCTTCTCTTATACCCAAGTAAGTGCCCAATGGCCAAAAGCAACTCCTAGGATGGGAGGGAGAAAATGTCTGTGGGATCTGGAAAAGGGGGCTTGGGTTTTGCTTGCAGAGCCTAGCTTCAGGGCAGAGCAAGAGAGACTGTGGTTGTGCCTTCAGTCTGTCACCCTGTGACAGCAAGGCTGTGCTGCTGCTGACAGTTGTTTCTAAGCAAGATTTCCTTCCTCCACCTGCCCTGCATGACAAGGACTGATGGGCAGGAGCGATGAGGAGCTCATCAAACCTTCATCCCCCTCCAGGCCAGGCTCTCTGAAGAGGGGCCTCGTCTCACACTGCCCAGATGACTGCTCCAACAAGAGGTCTCGCACCTCCTCCATGAGCTCCCTCAACAACACCTATGCCAGTGGGATCCCCAGCTCCATCCGCAATGCCATTGCCAGCTCCTACAGCTCTAGCCGGGGCCTCACACAGGTAGGGACACTGTATCTTGACATTCAGAGGAGACACTGTGTGGCAGGGTGTCTGGACCCAGTGTGACTCAGCCAGGCAGTCTCACCACCCTGGAGAACAGGTGAGCTGTAGGCCATGGGCCAAGCAGCAATTACTTGGTTTTTGGACGAGTCCTAGGCTGAGCTGTACTGCTGCTTTTACACCAAACCAAGAGCAAGACTGTTTTCTCCTCTCTCCTGCTTCTTGGTCAGTCTGCTAGACTGGATAGATCCGGGCGAAGGAAAAAAAATGGTTTTGCTGTGCTGACATCTTTTCAGCAGGAGTCAGCAGTGTGGGAGCCGTGTGTTCTCACTCTCACCCAGGTCCCACCTGCTGACAGTGTTGGAGCACTACTTGTGGCCTGGCTGGGCTTGCAGATGTGCCAGGGACACATAGTCTGGCTACTGGAGCTTTGTCTGTGTGGGGAAAGGTTTGCTGAAGGTGGTGGGAGAGAGGAGTTTGCTGGGGCTGCAGAGAGTCTCACGCTTGCATTGGGATCTATCTGCTTTGAGCTCCTGACAAGGAGGTGCTGCCTCCTGCCAGAGCAGCCCCACGAGGGTGTCCAAAGCAGTTGGGTGTCCTCTACCTGTGTCACACAAAGGCAAGGGCCCAGCAGTGTACTCCCTCCCTGGGCTCAGCCAGGGCGATAAAGGCCCTGGGGGCTGCTTGTTCCTTATGTGGCTTCAGCTTAGGGTGGCCAGATTTTGTGCTCCCTAAAATGTGGAGGGGAGTTTAAGTGGTGGTGAAGCAGGAGAAGCTCTGAGCTCATTGGGGTCAACAATCATGGCCCTGGGCAATGGGGCTTATTGTGGGTGAGCAGGGGGCCTGTGCTCTCTGCCAGACCCATGCCAAGTTACTTCTGGTATCTCTCTGCATTCCAGCTGTGGAAGAAAAGAGGTGTAAGCGTGTCCCCTCTGTCCAGCCCAGCATCCTCCCGCCCTCAGACACCAGAGTGGCCTCTCAAGAAAGCCAGGTAATCAGCTGGTGGCCAACCAGCAAGAGAGCTGGTCTTTCCCAGCCATCTTAGCATGCAAGTCCCACTTTACACTGGAGCTGGGACAGTCTAGGCTCCTCTCCTACACATAATGATGTAGAGACCCACTTGTGTCAGTTGGCCTCCCTGTCACCTTGTCATGCTCTGGCGTGTCTAAGCTGTGTCGCCCCTGGCCCACTCCCAAGCCAGGTCAGAGATTTAAGGGCACAGGTTGCCTCAGTAGTTATGGGGCCTGGTGGCATTGGCCTGGATTGTTGGATCATTAGGAAGAGACAGGCCCTGATTTTTGCCATGTCAAAGTCAAATCCCAGGATCTGTATTTTAGTGCCTGCCTTGGAGCACAATCTGTGTTCTCCTCTTTCCCAAATCAGAGGAGCCTGAGCTTATGTCAGAATTAAAACTGACACAGCCACCTAGATGGGCCCAACCTGCAAGGGGCAGTGACTGCCATCTGAGACCCCCAGCTACCCTCCTGAGGCTGACTCATCTTGTGGAGGGTGCACAGGCTTAGCCAAGCTGAGTCTGGAGGAGGAAGCAATTCCTCTGCCTGGAGCTAGGCAAAGCTTTTGTCTTGAGTTCTGTTTGCAGGAGGCAAATAAACACCAGGGATACTCCTGCAGGTCTTGAGCCTGTTCAGTCTCATCCAGCTCACTGCAGACAGGGCTGGGCCCAGGGTTGACCGTAACTGTCCCTCCTGCTTACACAGGGAAGAGGAGTCACAGCGTTCCAACGCTTCCACCCCAGTGAAATCAGACAAGGAGCTGCAGACAGAGAAAGGTAAGTGTAGGTGTGCCCTGACACTGCACCCCGGTCACGAGTGCAAGCAAGAGAGCAGGACAGGAGGCAGCTGAGGTCTGCAGTGGGATTGGCTTGAGGGGTCACCTGGAAACATGCCATGTGCTGCCTAAGGCAGTGGCACTTCTGCTGGCCTCAGTGGCTGCCCTAGTGGGATTTCCAAGTGATAAGGGGGTGCTGACAGTTTGGGGTGCTAGCAGATGCCTGGGAGCTGGCTTGCAATGAGGAGCTCCAGCTCCCAACCCAGCATAGGTCGGGTGTCAGCCTTGGTCCGCAACCTGCAGTGGCATGAGTAGCACTCTGACCAAATCCCAGTCTGAGCCTATTCCAATGCTTCCTCAGCTAAAACAGAGAGGAAGAGGAAATCCTCTGTACCCATGGCAGGTGGGCCTCATGATACAGTGCCAGCTGTGGCACGTGGTTTGGGTAAGGCAGCATGTTGGCACAATCCATGGAGCTGGGAAGGGGCCGTTGCCCTACAGAGTCCCACCAGCCTCATGTCACGGACCTCCTGGATGTGAAGCTGCTCTTCAGGGTATCACAACCTTGTTCTCAGCTTCAAACCGTGCCCCTGGCCCTGCCCTCTGAGCAGGGCCACCCATAGTGGGGTCAGAAGAGACAGACCTGTCACTACAACCAAACACTTCTCTGCCCAGAGCTCGGCCTAACTTGTCTCCTTCTATAGTTGTGGAGTCACCAGTGTGGAAGAAGCAGAATTCCCTGAGCCCACCATCTGCTTCGGGGAGCAGCGGGAAGCGCAAGCGGAAGATTCCGTTGCTGTCATCTTTCCGTGGAGACCAGCTGATGCTGGTATGTCGCTGTCGCACAGCCCTTTTGGTCCCACTCTGGCAATAGAATGTGCTCACTGCAATTTCTGCAGGGCTGGGGGCACACTGACCTGCCTGCCCTCAGGAAGGAGGCCCCGTCCTTGGTCGAGTGGGAAGTGACGCTCTCCCCAGCCCAAGTGTCTGGTGGGCTGTGCGTGGTTGTGCTACCTGCTGCCGGACCAGGTAATGGCCTGGGGAAGGCCTGCCGTGCCCTCAGTGCCACGCCGGGGGCCCACCAGTGTTGGGGACCTGAGTAGCTGCGGCAGGACCACCTGCTTCACAGGGCTCACCACAGACAGTCGCCAGCACACCTTCAGAGAGGCTCTGCCCGCTTCCCTGGGAAGGAGCTAAGCTGCTGCTGCTCTCTCTTGGCAGCCCCCACCACCTCAGCTGGGCTACTCCATCACCTCAGAGGACTTGGATGCAGAGAAGAAGGCAGTGCTGCAGTGGTTCAACAGTGTCTTGGAAGACAAGGCTGGTAAGGATGGGCTGGAAATGTAGAGGGGTAGGAACAAGCTTGGGTCTGGGGATGCTTTTGATGCCTTCCAGCTGAAGAGATCTCATGCTTTGTGGTGCTGGGTGAGGTTGCCCAGGGCTGTAGGTGCGGTTCCCCTGCCTGCTGGGAAGCTCTGCTGAAGGTTTGTTCCTCACAGCCAGTTGTGGGTCCTTATATCTTGCTGTTTCCCTGTAGATGCAGTCCCCAGCACCACTGCAGAGATGATGCCTGTGTCCAAGCCACCGGTGTTTGATGTGACCTCCCCCGGGCCTATGCCTGCCTCCACAGCTCCTGCCCTGGCCAGTTCCTCACTTCTGGACAGTCTGAAGAAGATGCAGAGCAGCCAGGCTGTATCCACAACACCAGGTGAGGAGGAGGAGGAGAGTTGGCACAGTGGAATGCCAGCAGAGTCAGGCAGGTGCAGCAGGAACTCCTCGTTGTCCCTGCATGAGGCAGCTGACAAAACCTTCTGTGCAAGTGCTCTGCTGGCAGCAGAGATAGCATTCAGGGCTTGAGGGGACACCTTTGGGGATGCTGAGCCCCTGGTCCTGCTGGAGGCTGTGGTAACTGTGGAGGGCTAGGTGTGATGGGAGCTCCGGGAGCCTTTGCAGCCATGGGTCAGTACCTGGCAGAAGGATGGGCTTCTGAAGGTGTCCCCTTGTCCGTAAATAAGCTCTTTCCCCTTTCCAGACTCCACTGGAACTGTGGCAGCATCCCAACCATCTACGTCAGCTGCACAGCCACCTGCTTCTTCTGTGTCATTGGAGTCAAGCTCTCTGCCTGCCATCTCTGCTGACACCAAGCCTGTGCCTGTACTGAGCACACCTTCCCCCAGTGCTCCCCGTGCCCTGGTGGTGCAACCCCCCAGCAGCCTGGCCCCTCCTGTGCTCACTGAGCTGGGCCAAACCCCCAGCAAGCCTCCCTCCTTCCCAAAGCCAAGCATCCTATTCGGGATGCTGAACACCCCGCCAGCCAGCCAGCCGGCAGTGACTTTGGCCACTGCTATGCCCACCACGGCCACTGCTACACCCACTGCTTCCACTGCTGTGCCCACCCCACCCACTGCCGTGTCCACCACAACCCCCATCTTCAAGCCCATCTTTGGTGCTGTGCTGAAGAGTGAGAACACAGCAGTCTGCACGGCTGTCACTTCCACCACAGCCACCATGCCTGTAAGCTCAGGCCCTGCCTCAATGTCCTCCGCATCCTCCATATTCAAGCCCATCTTCGGCAGCATCACTGCAGCTTCATCTCCAGCGAAAGTCTCTCCTTTCGCCTTCAAACCCGCAGCACAGTCAGCCTCAGAGCCGACAACTGCCTCCACAGCTCCTGTGGCAGGAATCTCGGGTCTTCCCAACGTCATCTTCACCACTGCAGCTACAACTGCCATTACCCAGAGTTCCTCCACGGATGCCGCCATTAAACCTGTCTTCAGCTTTGGACCAAACCCGCCTGCTTCCACTGGCCCTGCTGCCAGTGTGACTGTCACTGCTGCAACCTCCACCAGCACAACACAGCCCTTCCTGTTCGGGGGCCTCTCCAGCTCTGCTCCCAGCACAGAAACCAGCTTTGCCCCCTCAGGGCCTGTGTTCCAGTTTGGGAAGCCACCTCCAGCTGCAGTCACTGCCACCACCAGTGTCCCAGGAGGCCCTGCCTTTGGCCAGGTACCTTCAAACTCAACGGTTGCTGCCACCACCATGGGCTTTAGCATATTTGGGAGCACTACACTGACCACCTCTGCCCCAGCCAGCACAGCTCAAGCACCACTGACATTCGGCTCCTCCGTTTCAGCTTTTGGCAGCTTTTCAGCCAGTGTAAAGCCACCGCCACCATACCCTGGCACTGGGGGCCAGCTCACCTTCAGCACTGGGGCTGCTGAGAGCCAGGTGCCCACCAGCAAGCCTGCTGTTGGCCCCATCAGCTTCACCCCCCCGTTCAGTTTCGGAGCCCCCCCGGCACAGTCGGTGGCTCAGTCAGCTTTTGGCAGTGGTGCCCAGCCAGCCTTTGGCACAACCAGTGCCCAGGGCTCCTTTGGCACCAGCAGCACCCAGGCAGCATTTGGGACCACCACCTCAGTGTTCTCTTTTGGAACAGCCACGTCCACCACATCCAGCTTTGGTGCTACCACCCAGACCACAAGCAGCAGCACTGGTGCCACTGTTTTTGGCACCACCCCATCTCCATTTACTTTTGGGGCCAGCACCCAGCCGGGCCCCTCCGCCAGCGCCTTTGGGATGGGTACGCCGGGCCTCAGCAGTGGGTCCCCAGCCGTGGCCTTCAGCTTCGGGGCTGGGCAGGGCGGGGCAGCCCCGGCAGCAGCACCCTTCGGCTCATCTCTGCTGCAGAGTGCACTGGGAGCGCAGGGCCAGAGCACGCCCTTCGCCTTCACCATGACCAGCACTCCCAACAGCAAGCCTGCGTTTGGAGGTGAGTCATTATGGAATCATGGAATGGGTCATGTTGGAAGGGACCTTAAAGATAATATTAATCCACCCCTCTGCTATGGGCAGAGACACCTTCACTAGACCAGGTTGCTCAGGGCCCTGTCTAACATGGCCTTGAACATTTCCAGGATGGGATGGGGGCAGACAGGCCATATTGAGGGTCTAGAGTTGGGCAGTAGTATTCCTGATGGACCTTGCCAAGGCTCCCAGGGTCCCCAGCTCTGGTGAGGCCAGTGTCCTGCTATGCAGAGTCTTGCCATACAAAGGGAAGGCATTCCCATCACTCCCTGTAAGGATCCTGCCTGTCTAGGGAGGGGAATCCCTAAACTCTGCTCATTCGCCCCTCTGAAGGCCATCAGCTTCACCCATCCTGCAGGAGCCGAGGTCATCTTGAGTCCTTAAGAGCCACCTGGAACACTTTAGTGAGCTGGAATGCTGCCAACCAGCGACTGCCATCACTTCAAGCTTGCTCTCAGGGTTTCCCTAACACTTCAGATCCTTGCTGCATATTCCCAGCTCCCATGGAACTGAAGCCCATACAGTGAGCAACTCCTCGATCTAGCAAAGCCAAGGTCTTTGTTCCTCCCTGACAAATCCTTCTGTGTGGCCCTGCTGTTCAGAGAGCCCAGGGATTATCTGGAGAGTGTAACTTTTGCATTAAAAGGGCTTTTCAGGAGCAGAGGTTGGTTCTGGGGGATGGATTGTGGTGCTTCAGCCCCCAGAGAGCATCCTGTGCCTCCTCTGGGTGCCACTGGCTCCCAAAGGCTTTTTCTCCTTTGCCAACCCTGGCTCACAGTGACCTGTTGCTTTCCAGGAGCTCCAGTGCCCACCTTTGGGCAGGGCACACCTGTCCCTGGAGCCGTGGGCAGCGGAAGCGGCACCCTTTCCTTCAGGACACCCAGCACTCCTGCCTCAAGCTTTGGAGGAGTCGGCACTTCCTTTGGTAAGGAGGGAGTTGGTGCTCCAGCCTTGGGGAGCTCGTGGGTCATGGTGTCCCCTTAGGCTGGAGACAGTGGTAGGGCCGGGTGTTCTCTGGGAGATGGCTCAGGGAGTACATGCTGGACTCTCGAGGGTGCCAAGCCTTCCGTTCCTCCCAGGCTGAGGATTGCACTGATCCCAAAGCTAGCAACCTGAGCAACCTTTCTGCTTCCAGGTTCATCCACTCCCGCCTTCTCCATCGGGGCAGGATCCAAGATGGGCACTCGCCAACGGCTGCAGGCACGGAGGCAGCACACCCGCAAAAAGTAACCCTAGTGCTGCTGGGCTCCACTGGCTCACGTGTGGGGGGCTCTGGACTGGAGCTGTCCCTGTGGTGGGACCAGGCCCCATCCCTGACACTCACTGGATACCATGCTGGGACAGGATAAGCCAAACGCTTTTACTTGAACAGTTCCAGAGCCAAGACTGGATAAATCTGTGTACATATCCACAATGTTCTTTCCCTCAATTTATTTTGCCTTGTTTAATAATGTGTACATTTCTCCCCATTTGCTTCTTCTAGCTGTTTCCATGCCCCTCCCCAGCCCTCAGCCAGCCCCAAGGCCGTGTCCTGCTCAGAGCTTGGCTGGTGACATGCTGTGGTTCTGAGTTGCTGTCAGACAACATCTTCACCAAGTCCCGAAATCTTTCCCATTGTTCATCCCATGACCTGGTGAACATGGTCCCATGCCTGCCGCCAGGGTGGGTTCCAACCTGGCTCTGTTTTGGTGCCACAGGTGACTGGCATAGGTGCGGCTGGGTGACACCCCTGGGACCTAATGTCCTGCTACCTCCAGCTGAGGACATGTCATAGCCTGGGACCTGGGCTGGAGGCACGGGGGTGAGGATGGGGGTCCCCCCACCCCTCTCCCATCTCCGCTGCTCTGTGGGGCTGTGGGCTGCCCCCCACCCTGCTCCCCAGTTCTGCTTTATGTGTGCTCCTGTTCCTGTTCTCACTGAATCGAGTTTGGAGGAAGAGCTAAACCGTGTGTGTGGCGGCATGTTGGTTATGCCGGATTTGCTGTTTGGAGTTTCTTTTTCGGGGCACCAGTCCTTGGGGGAAGACGTGCCCCGGCTAATTGGGTGTTGACAGTAGCATCACTGCGTGGCTGCTCTTGCTGGGGAGTTGTCCCTTCCATGCGGTGACTAAAAGGCAGCTAGGACAGGGGGTTCCAACCACGGCAGTCTCCACTCCCTTCCCCTTTCTCCTTCCCCTCTTCTGCACTTCAGAGGGCTCTGGAATTGCTCCCAGAAGTCCAGAGCAGATGCATTCTCCCCTCCATCCCAAATCCAAGTTGTTTTTCATTTTTCAGCTCATTTCCATCCTAGTGGGTTTTACTAGCTCCTAGGAACTGTGGTGCTGCCTCCCCTGTCCCCATCCAGTCAGGAGTGGGATTTCCACCCTTCCCTGCCTTGGAGCTTCTGTGGGAAGAGACTGCCAGAGCTGGGGGTCACCAGAGAGCCACCCCCTGCCCTGTCCCTGGTGTGGGATGGGCACTCCATTTCCAGGAGTGCTTTGCTGCCAGGTTTTTACTCTCCGAGCCGTGTGAGTGTGTGTGTTTGCTGGGATCTAAATTAAAAAAAAAAAAAAAAAAAACCAAGAAAAAAAACCAAAAAAAAATCACAAATATTTAAGCATTTTTTAACAAAATAAAAATTTATTTTTATATTTAAGCTAAATTGCCTTCAAATTCCTTCAAGCTTGGTTCAGTGAAGTTGCCTACCCCTAGCCCTTAGTGTTTAGCCATTCCCAACATGGCTATGGCTGCGGGAATGCACTGTGCTGGGAAAGGCAGCTGCATCCTGCAGGCTCTGCCATGCTCCCCCTGCTGTTCATCATCCCCTTCCTTTTAAATGTGATGTATGTGGATGTGACTAAACCTTTTTTTTGTTTGTTTTTTAAAGTTTTTAATTATTTCTCTGAGGGTGAGGAGCAGGAGCTCTCACGTTACGGTGCTGAGTGCCAGGGTCAAGACATTTCTCCCAGCAGAAAGGGCACGTGATGGGGCTCTGTGTGGCACAGAGGGGACACAGCTCTGTAGTAAGGGGACATAGAGGACCTCCAGGTGCTGGTGGGAATGTTCTGGCTGTCACCCACCAGCATGGCTGAGGGTGCAGTGGGCCAAGAGCAGCCAGAGCTAGTACCTGCCAAGACTGACCCTGGGTGTCCTTTCCTCTGCCCCAGTTAGAATCCTGGGCCAGCAGAGCACCTGCTCCGTGTGCTTGAGGTGTCAGGGTTTGGCCAGGTCAGCTCTGAACAGAGGGGGATGAGCTGGGACAAGGTTGAGGGCACCCGGGCTCTGGGTCCTGCCCCCAAGTAGCTGCCCTATGTAGTCCCACACACCCATGAGGAGCCAGGCTGTCCCTTCCCTGCCTCACAGGCCCTGCTGGGAGAGCCCTTTGTGCTTGGGGGGAGGCTGGGTTTTAACTGACTGAAGACTTGGATCATTCCTGGTGTGGCTGATGAGGATTTTAGTGTGAATGTGCAATTTTTGTTTCCTTGCTTCTTACGTCTCTGGTTTAAAATAAAATGACTGTGTTCACTTGGCTGTGGCTACTTGTTTCCTGGGGCTGGGATTCCCAGGGCAGGGAGGTGCAGCGCCCTCTGGCTCATGTGTCCTTGTTCCCCCAGTTCAAAGAGAGGGACAGGATTATTATTATTATTTTACCTTTTTCTCCTCACTATGCCTCTACTATGAGCAGTGGCAGTTTCAGGGCAGGACTACATAAACACACTGGAAAAAACGGTGGAGAGAGAGAGAGAAACTTTTAATCTGCTTTATCCCTACAGTGAATTTATTTTCAGGAGGGAACATGATAAACCACCCTAAATCCAGCTGGAGAACCCCAGCCCTGCAGGGTGCAGAGTGGGGATTGCCTTGGGGACAAACCTGGCGTGGGGGTTGGCTGCAAGGGGCAGCCCTGAGTGAGCAGTTGCCCCTTCCTGGCACCAGGCTGGTCCCAGTGTTGGCACTCAATCCCTGGTGTAACAGAATTCTCACTATGACTGCAGTTAGCACGTAGCTTGACTTGTGTTCAGGCCAGTGTGTGTTCCCCACAGCCCCAGCTGTGCAGGGATTTGTCCAGAAAATGTTGTTTCACTCTTTCACCCGCTGCTTTTTCTTTTTCCTCTTCTTGGGAGCTGCTCCTGGCTTTGTTCCCTCTCCCGGCTGTGGGTTCTCCTTGGCCACTGCAGGCAGGGAGCTGTGAACAAGAGCAAACAGCCTGAGCCACAAACACCCCCTCACACCCACCTCGGAGTGCCCAGAGCGCTGACCTTGGCTATGGTGCCCCCCAGAAGCAGCTGGAGTCCCCCACAGCCCCCTCTCACCTGGGGGCATCAGCCCCTTCCCTGCACCGCTCCAGCACAGCCACAAAGAAGCCATGGGTGAGGGTCTCTGCAGGGGACGCACGGAGGCAGCTCTCTGCTCCAGAGAAGGTCGCGAGTCCTCGGCAGGGCCAGGATGGGAAGGCAGTCACCAAACTGTGGCATGGAAAAGGGGTCAGCACCAAACCCTGCCCTACAGCCCCCCAGGTTCTCTGAACCAGACCCACCTGAAGGCTGAGCCCCACTCCTGCAGCACAGCCTGCACCACATCCTCGTTCTCTTCCTGGTGTAGGGAGCAGGTGGAGTAGACCAGGCGCCGGAGAGCTGGAAAGCTCAGGGCGTGGTTGAGGATGCGGCGCTGGAAGCCAGCCAGTGCCTGCAAGCGTTCAGCACCCGGGGCTGCCTCCTCCCCCGGCCCCCGGCTCACCATTCCTGCTGGACAGAAGCTGTCACCTGAGGTACGCACACCCACGGCACAGTTCCAGGTGAGCAGCTGGATGTTACCCAAACGTTACCTGAGCCACTGCAGGACGGGTCGAGAAGGATGTGGGTCACCCTGCTGTATTTGGGGTCTCTGGGGTCCACGGTCAGGAAGTCCTGCTGGACCAGCTGGCAGCCAGTGACCCCTGCCCGTGTCAGCAGTGTGTTCATGGTGGCCACGCGCTTGGGGTCCACATCAAAGGCAAAGATCTGTCTGAAGGCAGAGCCAAGTGCCCAAGAGTCATCAACAGACCACCTGGCCTCCAGGAACACTCAAATACTGGGCAGGCAGACCTTGAGAGCTGCCTCCCCTCTGGCAGGGTTATGGAACAGGCCGGGGGCTGGGAGTGAACCCGCACGTGACTTCATGTCCCCTCAGGTCCTTCCAGTGGCCCAGAAGTGACCAGCTCACCCGAGTTGGTGACAGGCTGTAGTTCCTCCTGCCACGTTCTTGTGGGCTCAGGGAGACCAGGGCCACCTCCTCCCTTCCCTCCACCCCTGCACACAACCCTGCCCTCACCCCTTGTTCTTCAGGATGGCAGCCAGGTGGCTTGTCTTGTTTCCAGGGGCAGCGCAGGCATCGATGACATGGGAGCCAGCAACAGGGCCAAGGAGGAAGGCAGGGAGGCAGCTGGCCTGCAAGAGGGCAAAGACCGTCAGAGGTGTGGGCAGAAACACCTGGCCCCTCCTCAGGCATGGCTGATACTGTGGGGTCACAAGGACCACCATGACACAGGGCCAAGGACACCACCATGCTCCAACAAAAGCCTTGCCCTTCCCACAGCCCCCTGCTCCTCCCAACTCCCACAGGGATTTTATACCCCAGGATATCATCCTGGGGTATAAAACGACAGAAGCAAAGCCCCAGGGGAGTCCCACAGTTTCTGCTTCAATTTAAATGCAACAGCAAGCTGAGCCATTGTGGAAGGAGTTCACCCTTCATCCCTGTCAGTAGTTTTCCTACCCTTGCAACTTTCTGCTCCCCAGTTCTCTCACCTTGTCCTGCAGAATTACGTGTCCTGAAGTATACAGCAGGTTGTCATGGAGGTCTGTCTGCGAAGGGAAAACCAACAGGTCCGGAAGATGCAGATCCAAAAAGAATTTTTTTCCGGAAAGGGCCTTCAGCTCCTCCACACTGTCCACGAGACACAGGGAGCATGAATACAAAGTCCTAATCCCAGTGCTCACAGCAGAGCCCAGGCTGAGAAATCCCTCCATCCCACAGTTCCTCTCCAGCTCCAGGCAGCACCCAGACAGGTAGCATCTAAGAGTGGGGAGTGACAGAGACCCCAACCCAGCCACTGTGAGCACCAAGCTCAGCAACCCTTCAACCCACCAGACCTCATCCCACTTGCTGACAGTCCGGGAAAGGTGGGATAGCAGAAAGAAATACTCACCTGGTTGCCTTTCCCAGATAGGCATATCCCTGGCGCTTGAAGAAGTCGATCACATCATTCACACAAGTCTTCAGGGTGTTGACCCGGACGTAGCGTGGGACCTGGGAGGCTGCAGGGGCCGGACAGGTCAGACACAGACCCCACTGCTCCTTCCAACACAGGGTGCCCACCCAGCCCGAGCCCACTTACCTGCGGCGCTTACTGCCTTCTCCGGGGCCAGCAGGTCCTCGTTGCGGCTCACCTTGAGCCGCACCTTCATGCGGGCCAGCTCGGCCTCCAGCCGTGCCCGGTGCCGCCGGGCCAGGGCCTTCCACCGGCCCCCGCACTTCAGGCCCTTGCCGAAGAGCAGGTCATACACCAAGACCTGCGGGGAGGGGACGACGTGAGCCCGGCCCCGCCGCCCCAGGCCACCGCGGCCCAGGGATTCTCCGAATCCGGGACACCGCGGCTCCAGGACATGGTCCCACCACACCGCGGCCCAGGGATTCCGCGGATGCCCCTACCTTCGCCAGCTGAGGCGCAAGCTTCTTCTCGGCCTGCAGCAGCGCGGCTCCATCCAGCAGCTTCTCCAGCACCGAGGCGTAGCGGAGGGTCTCGGACACCAGCGCGTACAGTTGCCGGACGTGCTGCGGAGCAGTCAGCGGTGAGCGCTACTGGGCCCGCTCCGGGGCTCCCCCCGCCCTCCCGGGTGCGATCTCCCCCCGGCCGCCCCGCACCCCCGTTCCCTCCGGGCGCACCGGGAAGCCGCTGTTGTACACGAGGCTCTTGAGGCCGCCCTCGCCGCGCTCCAGCCCCGCCAGCACCGCGGCCGCCGCGCTGTACAGCGCCATGTGCGCCCCGCGCCGCTTCCGCCGGGGCCTCCGGGACCGCAGGGGGCGAGCGCGGCCCCGCTCCCAGCGCGGGGTCGGGGCAGGGCGGGCAGCGGGAACGGGCTGGCGGAGCGGAACGGGCGCCGTGCGGGCGCTGCTGGGTGGGCAGCGCCGGCGGAAGGGTGGGCCGGCCGGTCACCCCGGCCTCACCGTCATCGCAATGACCCCGGCCAACCCAGTCACCCCGGTCACCCCTATCGCCCTGGTTACCCCGGTGATCCCAGCCACCTTGTCCGCCCTGGCCACCCCAACCACCCCATCATCACAGTGACCTCGGCCACTCTGGTTGCCCCGGCCGAGGGTCACCCCCGGTCAGCCCCATCATCCTGGCCACCACATCATCAGTGACTTTGGCCAGTCCGGAGACGCCAGTGACTCCCGTCACCCTGTTCATCCTGGTGATCCCAGCCACCCTGACCAACCAACCACCATGACCATCTTGGTTACCCCGGCCATCCCAGCCACCTCTATCACCCCAGTGACTGTGGTCACCAGACCCCATCGGGTCCCTGCATGTGGAAGCACGCTGACATTACTACTGATTGTTAGACCCTGTGGTACCCTGTGGGTGATGGGTTGGTGGGGATTTGCTGCAGACTTTGGTGGCGTTCATGCGCCACTCAAACAGAGGAAAGAATGCCCAGCCCTGGAAAGAGGGGTCTGCTCCAGGAAAGGGATCTGCTCTGAGAATGAGGGATCTGCTCTGGGAAGCTCAGAGCTGTATATGGAGGGTAAAGGATACCCCAGAACAACCACTATAAGGCAGTATCCCAGCAACCTGGACATGGCTTTGAAACTGTCCCCGAACCATCTGGTGTCACATCTGGTGATCAGTCACTCCAGCATGACCAGCTCCAGGGACACCTGGATCCAGGAACAGGCGAGAGCTGCTTTGCAGAGTCTGAAGGGTTAGCAGTGAGTGCTCGGGATCAGTCATCTTGTACCTGAACAATCAAAGGATGTAAGAATCTCTAGTGGCAGGATCTGGGGGAATGGCTGCAGCTCTGTCACTGTCAGGGAAGGTTTAGTTTGGTATGAGGAAAAGGTTCTTCCTCCAGAGGGTGCTGGGGCACTGAAGGGGCTGCCCAAGGAATGCTAACAGCCCCAAGGCTGCTCATGGACCCGACCGACTTCCGTCGACTTCTCCTGGCCAAGCTGATGGGACCCAGGCAGACAAGGTAGCTCCTCCTCGGGATGGGGACCCCAGTGGCTCCCCTCCTGCATCCCTTTGGGATGTTCCTGCTCCCAGGGAAAGCCAGGCAGGCTTTTGTCCCTCTGTCCTGTCCCTGCACACCGCGGGAAGGGCTGTTTCAGCCCTGCATGAGCACACGGCACACGGCCAAGAGGAGGGCCGGCCGTGCTGGCTTCCCACAGCAGCCAGGGTCTCCGAGTCCCCGTGGGGCTTCCCTTGTACCCACTGCACAGAGAGAGTGTTCTCAACAAAGCACGTTGTTATCAGCTAAGTTAAGATAACTTGACTTTAAGATATTGTTATCAACTAGGTCAACTTTGCTATTAATTACAATTTCCTTTTTTTTGTTACACCGGTGGGGTTTTTTTGTGATATGGTGAAAACATGTTATGCTTTCAGAAAAAAAAAAAAAAAATCAGAAGGAAACAAACAGTGCTCTAACTGTGTGGGGCAAGGCACCAGGAATTATTTTGTCTGATTGTGAAAAAATATGGTTTGTCATATAATAACTCCTGGTTCATGGATGTGTTTGGCTTATGAGCATCCCTCATACAAATCCCATCATGATCCTATCCCCTGGCTTCCCTCTTAGCATCTCCCAGGAAGCTGGGGGTGGTCCTGCCTTCTCCCTGAGGAATGTCCAACTTCAGGAATGTGGTGACAGAAGGATCACCCTGGGGCTGTCATCCAGCCTTACACTGAAGTCTTTGAGACACAGCAGAGCAGAGGATGAAGCACGTTCTCTCCAAAGGGGGGCTGGGGACAGGCTGTGGGGACCTCCCTCCCTCCTTCTGTGAATATAAAAAACTTGGGTTTATGTCCTTTTGTGATGATCTCAAAAATTCACAAGAATGTGGGTTTCTTTCTGCAGTTACTTTGCATTCTCATTAGTTTTGCATTTATACCATTTCAAGTGCCTGAAAAAGGCCAAACTTACCAACTTGTTCCAAACCAGTTTGGATGTTTTTTTGCCTGTGGTGGTTTTCGGTTGGTTGGGTTTTTTTGTTTCGTTTTGGTTTTGTTGTTTTGTTTTTGTTTTTTTGTTTTGGGTTTGGTTTTTTTTTTTTTGTTTGTTTGTTTTGGGGGGAGTTGGTTTTGTTTTGTTTTGTTTGGGGTTTTTGTTTGCTTTTGGTTTTGGTTGGCTGGTTGGTTGGCTGGTTGGTTGGTTGGTGGTGGGGGTGTTTTTGGTTTTGTTTTCCCTTTGGTTTGGGTTTTTGTTTGATTGGGTTTTGGTTTGGGTTTTTGGGTTTTATTGTTTAGCTTTTTTCTCCTATAGTTGTCTGGTTGGGTTTTTTTATGCTGTTTTTGTGGGTTTGGTTTTGGTTTTTGAGTTTTGGGTCGCTTTGCGGTTTTTGTTCTAACGAAATGCGGACGGCAGTGCACACCGCGAACTACATCCCCCAGCGTGCCCCGCGGCGCTCCGTGACGTTCGCCTCCATTGGCCCTGCGCAGCGGCGTGTTCATTCCCGCGTGGCTCTAAAGCTGCGCGTTGGGCCGGGGCCGCTGCTCGGAGCGTGATTGGCTGGAGGCGCCGCCCTTGCAGGGTAGTGCGTGGCGGCGCGGCCATGATGGCGGGGGGCGCCGGCCGGGACGGGCTCGGGGCTGGGTGGCGGGAGCCGGACCCGGCTCCGGCGTGGCCTCTGGCACCGACCCCGGCCTCAACACCCTCTTTGTCTCTGGCCTCGGAGTCTCTCCAACCCCTGCAGGACCTGACCGGCGATGGAGGGGTGCGCAAGGAGCAGCTGCGCCCCGGCACCGGGCAGCCCGTGCCCCCATCCGCCTCCGTGGCAGGTAGAGCCGGGTCTGGGGCCTCCGGAGCCTCCTGTGGGCCCTGGGAGGTCCCGTGGCCAGGGCCGGGCACTCTTGTTAGGGATGTCCCAGCTCTCTGGCACAAGTTGCCCAAGGAAGCTGTGGTTGCCCCATTCCTGGAAATGTTCAAGGCCATGCTGAAGCAACCAGCTCTAGTGGAAGGTGTCCCTGCTCATGGGCAGGGGGTTGGCCTGGATGATCTTCAAGGTCCTTTCCAACCCAAACCATTCCAGGGTTCTCGCAGTCTCTCCAGGGCTGGTGTCCTGGAGTGAGGCTCCCTGAGCTCGGCCTGCCTGCCTGGGGGGTTCAGAGTGCTCTGCAGTGATGTTGTGCCTGAATTCACTGGTAGTTCAGGCACCAGTAACCATCTCCTGAGCAGCTTTTAAATAGGAATTGTATAGTTTAGCCAGTGTTCAGCAGGACTAAGAATGTGAAAATCTGTGGAAGTGTGGGCTGGAGTGAGGATCTGGTGCTCATCTCTGTCCCCTGTGTCTCCGTGTGGGGTTTGGTCACTGTGGCTGGACCTGAAGTGGGTGCTGAGGGAAACAGGGCAGAGCCTGTTGGGAAAAATCCCCCAGGACTCTAATGTTGACATGCAGGTGGCTGGCAAAGACCACGACAAGGACTTAAAAGTGCTGATATTGTACTGCAGTATATCTCTGTTTCAGAGACTGTCTCCTCTCCTTATCAGTATTTTAACGCTTGGGATACCCTGTTTTAACTTCTTGTGGCTGACACATTAAATGAAAAGGCATCTTGACCTTGAGGAATGAAGGATTTCTAGGGCCCACCTGTGCTCACAGAGAAGTTTGAAGTTGGAAGCGGTTCCTGAAGTGCAGGGCCCTGTTGCTGTGTCAAGAGAGGCTTATTACAGTGTGTTTTCTGAGACAGAACTGGAGTTACAGATGCTTGGGGTAGCGGTACATTTTCCCCCTTGTTCTTCTTTCCACAGCTTCAGCTTTGATTAGGGAATTCTTTTTAAATATTTCTGCATATAACTGGGGTCTTTTAATTTGCTCAGTTGAAGTTTCCAATTCTTAAAAGTGCGAAATCACATCTTTTAAATAGATCAGGACTCTGTCTGGGAATGATGCTAAAACACACAGCAGTTGGCTGCTTGGATGTGACCAGGTTTTTGGTGTAAAACAGAAGGGTTTTTGCTGCCTCTGCTGTTCTGTAGCAGAACAGAAGAGGAGAAGCAGGATAACTGGGTGGTTACAACTCCTGGTGTGCTCCTGATATGCTGTTATGGGACATGTAATCAACCTCTTGCTTTTCCCTTCTCCCCACTCCTCGCTTGGGCTGTACAGTGAAGTACTCTGGGTACCTGGGAAATTGGAATAAGCTCTTCTGTTCAAATGGGAACAGCAAGTATCCAAGGCTGATGAAACTTGGGAAAGGTAGGTTTGAGCCACAAACTTTGTCCCGGGGCTTGGGATTGTATTAAGGCATTTTGGGCTCTGGGGTTGTATTAAGGCATTTCAGTTTAAATGCTGTTTGGTGTCTTTAGGTTGTTTGAAACCTTTAACACTTGTTCATGGAGTCCAAAATCCTCCTGGTTCACATGGGAGATGGAATCTGGACCTGCTTACCTTCCGCCTGGGAGTGATAGGGGGGTGTTTCCCACCTGCCCTCGGGCAGTTTTAAATCTCTTGAGAAGAGATTATGTTTTCCAGGCTGGACAGGCCTTTTAGCATGCTGGTCTAGTGGAAGGTGTCCCTGACTGTGGCAGGGCTTGGACTGGATGATCTCTAAAGCCCCTTCCAATTCATCCCACTCTGGATTTGCAATGCCACGTGCTCAGTCCCACAGCAGCAGTACCCCTGCTAATCCCTTCTGGAGCAACTGGCTGTTGTAGTTGCTGAGACAGGAGCTCCCAGGGGTTTTTTTCCTTCAGGCTTAAGGAGAAGTCATTGTTTGGTGTGTGAGTGCATTAGTGTTTGTGAACCTCACCTGTCCCACCCCTCGTTGTGACAGACATCACACTGTGGGGGCTGGAGATCGGGCTGCTGTCTATGACCAAAGGAGAGGCTGCGCTCTTCGTCCTCGCTCCAGAGTACGCCTATGGCCAGCGGGGCTGTCCTCCCTCCATCCCCCCAAACACCACGGTCCTCTTCAAGGTGGAGGTGTTGGACTTCATAGACTCAGAGGAATGCGACGCCTTCTTTGAGCTGACTTATGTGAGTTCCTTTAATAAGGCTTGAGACTGAAATCTGGAGGGTGAACCATCAGTGTCCTGTCTCACAGTTGCTGTGGCTGGTGTATTACATGTGTTCAGGTGAATGCTGGTGCAAGTATCTAGTCCCTGGGCTCACAGCTCTGCTCTGATCCACATGCCTGCCCTTTGTGTCCCTCCATGCCTCTCTCTGTTTGCCCTCCCATGCAGAGGGAGAAGGCGTGATCTGCCTTTGTTTGCTCCTCTGTGCTGAATGGAGTCAGTGGAATGGCTCACATTTATTTTTAGTTTTACTGGAAACCTCTGGTATGGTTGCACTAGAGGGCACCAACTTCCAGGAATTTCTTTAAGGAACAGTAAGGAGCTGACTGTAACAATCGTCTTCAGTCTGCAGTGTCCCAGTGCCCCACCAGCCCCCACCCTTTGCCTCTTGGCTCCTCTCCCAAGTGCTCCCTCTTTTTTCCTTTCTGGTGAGTTACAGTGCCATTGTTAATTCACCTTTTCATGTCGAGGGCTTTGAGCTGTGGTTGTGGGTCAGTGAGTGGAAGCAGAAGCTAATGGGGAAGCCCCTCCAGCCCCTGCACAGGTAAATTTTCCCCGGAGCCCTGTGAGCAAACCACACTTGTTGTGCTCCTTCCTTGCCCACCTGTTTTGGCTGACTGACCTCTCTCTATGAGCTGGTTCCAGCTTGCAGATCCAGAAGAAAGGCTGTCCCTCCATTTTTATCTTTTTTTTTAATGATTGTTGGGATTTTTGTTTGCTGTTTGGTGTCTTTGGGAGTGTCAGGCTGTCCCAGAGCTGGCCTGAGAGCAATTAGAGCAATGGAACGTTTCAATAAGCTTTGTGCCAGTGGCAGCATTTCTGTTAACTCAGCTGTGTGCTGAAGGAGTTGGGCGGATTTTAAGAACACATTCCTGCCTTTTTTCAGTCCCACTTTAGGCCTGAGGAGCTTCCTGACCTCTTTACTGGGAATAATCACCACAAGAACACTGTAATGTTTCAGCCTGGCTGGGGAGATACCACATGGTGGTGGCCCAGCTTTGGTAAGGACCTGGCTTCTGCTGTGTGAATAGGAGGGGGCTGTTCAGGACTGTCCTGTCTGAGTTCTCTGCCTGTTTCCTTTAGTTTGAGCTAAAATTCAGATATTTCTTCACACAGGAACAGCGGGATAGACTTCCTCTAGAAAAGGTGTTGAAAGTGGCAGCCACAGAGAGAGAGTTTGGCAACTACTTCTTCTATAAGCAGCGCTTCAAGATTGCCAAAGACAGATACAAGAGGGTATGGTACCAGGAAAGTGTGGGGTGTGCTTTGGGAAAGCTTGGGTTAGCTCACCACAACAGGTACAGGTTAGAAGTCAAATAACTTTATGGTATTTTCCAGGCATAGTTTGTTACTTCAGAACACGGCTTGCACACCTGGTTTTGTGTGAGCAGCAGTGGTAAATGAAGGCATTGTCACAGAATCATTTTGGCTGGAAAAGCTCTCTGAGACCATCAAGTCCAACTGTTCCCCAGCACTGCCAAGGTCACCACTAACCCATGTCCACAGGTGCCACATGCACAGGGCTGTTAAATCCCTCCAGGGGTGGGGATTCCACCACTGCCCTGAACAGCCTCTGTGCCAGGGCTGGACAACAATTTCAGTAAGAAATTGTATCCAACCTGAACCTCCTGTGCTGCAACTTGAGGCTGTTTATCTTGTCCAGCTACCTGGGAACAGAGCCTGACCCCCATCTGGCTGCACCTTCTTGTCCAGGAATTGTAGAGAGTGAGAAGGTGATCCCCCCTTATGCTTTTTCCCAGTCTGAGCCTCTTCAGCTCCCTGTCCCGGCAGAGTAAATAAAAAAAAAATTATTTTATTCTCAAACTGGAAGGCATCTGCTACTTTTTCAGAGGTAGCAGTGATGATTCAAAGTTGCTTTTGCTTGGGTTTTTGAAACAAAAGTAATTTGACTTACCTTCTTCCCTGTAAGATATCCATATTTATCCTATAAGATACTCATATTAGATCTGAGTCCTGGGTCCTTTTTTTTGATTCTTTTGCTTTCCATGGTAAGTTTCTAAACCTGTGGTCATATGGTCAGCACGACTAGTCATGCTGAAAATGCCATGTCCTGTATTTAGAGTTTTGATTGTTACTACTTTTTAGTGACCTAGGTGAACAGAAATGTGGGTGTAGCTGTTGGATGAGATGGATTTCTCACTTTCCATGATGAATTTGTTGTGCACTGGCTGATTTTCCCTCTCTGCTCAGGCACTCTCCATCCTGGGTCGCAGCTCCTCCAGTAAGGCAGAGCAGAGCCAGATCAACGCTTCCAAACTGCTGCTGTTCCTGAATCTCTCACTCACATACCTGAAACTGGAACGTGCTGACCGAGCTTTGAAATACGGGGAGTTAGCCTTGGAGATGGACCAAGGAAATGCCAAAGCGCTGTTCAGGTGTGGCCAGGTGGGCAAATAACTCCTCATGGAACATCCCAGCCTGGCTGTGGAGGGAGCCCAGAATGAACTGAGGAGAGTCTCTGAATTCTGGGCTGCTGCAGTAGTCAAGGTGGTTTGTCTGCATCTGCCCTTTTGGAAAGTCTGGCTCTCTGGAAATGTGTCACATGGAGCTTTTCCTGGAGTGTTCCTGAATTACTTTTCTCTGTCGCAGGAAAGTTTGTTTTAGCATGAGGCCTGAAGAAGGGCAGTGGGTCTGTATTTATCTTGTGATGCATCTGATTTCTTTCCATGACAGGCTTGTCTTTACATGAGGGAGTACAGCAAATCCCGGGATTTCCTGGCCAGAGCTCAGTGCATCCAGCCCTTCAACCGTGATATCAACAAAGAGCTGAAAAAGTTAGCAAGGTGAGAGCCCTCCTTTCCATACCTGCAGAAGAGAGAGTGTTTGGACAGGCTGTAATACCCGTTCCAAAATATTTAAAATATTCAAAAAACCCCAAACTATTGGGTTAATAATTGACTTGGGAAAATGCACGTGGAGAAAACAGCTTGAAACATTTTTCAGGCCCAGAAGCTGCAAGTGAGGAGCTCAGAGCACCCACCCTTTCCATGTATTTCTTTGGTGGAATGTATGTTTCATGACTTGTGAGCAGATTGGGGTGAGGACAGGGATGTGGGGGCTACTAAAGTACCTCAAATCCAGCGAAATACACATGGCTGATGATCCAGCTGGTAATGTTCTCAATAAGTATGATTTTTATTCCCCTTAAGATGTGTTGGTTATTTTGAGCAGTTGCACATGCTTCAGTGCACAATACTAATATTCATTAAAAGTGAATTTCTTGCCATCTTGGAGCTAATAAATGAACAACCCTGAAGATGGACTCTCCCTTTCCCCACAGGCTGAGTTCAGGACTATCCTGCCAGCTTTAGTCATGCCCCCACCCCACCAAAACATGACTAATGCTTGTCTATGCCCTCATGATGTTCTCCCTTTGAAATTGCCAAAAGCATTAGCTTTTTCCCAAAAGTGTGTGCTGTCCTCCTGGCACTGTTTACTGAGACAGGAGCAATGCTGTCCTCAGCTCTGGAGCTAACAAAGCAGCCCTTGAATATGAACCTGCTTCTGTATGTCAGTGCTAGGCACTTAGAGAAAGGCAGCAGTAACACCCAAAAAGAGTGGTTGGTGCTGCTGGAAAAGCCAGTCTGGTGGGCTGAATGCCTTTCACCAGGGGATATGTTGGTGGAGGGCTGTTCTGTCCTGTGTATTCATGTTGTCTTTAATAATCTGTCATAACACCAAGTCTGCAATTTTATTCTGTTCCTTCTGAAGTACAAAGAGCTTGAAGGCAGTATTAGCTGCTGGTCTGGAAATTTTAAATTAATTTCTTGCATTCATCCTGATCTCCCACTGGGTATGGAGCTACCAAATTGTCCACTGAGGGTGGGGAGTTCTAAACTAGATCTGGCTGGCTGCTCTTGGAGGCTAGTACGTGTATAGTGCTAGAAGGCCTGATTCTAGAAGCCTCATGTAGTCACTTAGATTTGTTTGAAATATGTTGGTAGATAAAAGAGAAATTTTGCTGATGGTGTTTAGGTGCTGTGGCCGGGAAGCAGCAAGGCATTTCTGCCTTTGTCAGCTCCAGCTGTGTAGAGAGCAGCACGTTCAGTGAGTGTGCATGTGTCAGAATTGAGTGCACGTTAAACCACTGCTGTCCTGGAGTTCTTGCTTCGCTGCCTGTTAAAACTGGTGTACTTTTTGCTTTTAACCGTGCAATGGTTTGGGTTAGAAGGGACCTTAAAGCTCATTTCACTGTCATGGGCAAAGACTCTTTTCATCATACCAGGGTGCTCTAAGTCCTGTCCAACCTGACCTTTAACACTTTAGGGATGGCGCAGCCACTCTGGGCAACCTGTGCCAGGGCCTCCCCACTCTCATAGGGAAGAACTTCTTCCCAGTATCCCATCTAACCTTGCCCTCTGGCAGGAGGAAACCATTCCCTCTTGTCCTTATCCAAAGTCCATCTCCAGCTCTCCTGGAGCCCCTTTAGGCAGAGGAGGGGATTCTGAGGTCTGCCTGGAGTTCTTTCCAGGTGAACACCCCTGCTCTTCCAGCCTGTCTTCAGAGCAGAGGGGCTCCAGCCTTTGGAGCATCTCCATGGCCTCCTCTGGACTTGCTCCAGCAGCTGTATGTGTTTCTGATGCTGGAGGCAGCACTGCAGGAGAGGTCTTTTGCCTGTGACAAAGAGTGGAATTAGTGTGAAACAGATGAAGCAAGTGTTACTGGGCGTTGTTAATGAGGCCATCCCTCTGGCTAGATACGCAATGTTGCCAGCCTGCCCTTACCTGAGAACTTGCAGTGTGATCTGACAAATGCTTCAGAAATAGAATATGAATCAAAATCTCATTCTTAGTGGCTTTTCACTTCCTTACTGAGTACATTTATACTTTGTTAAAAGCTATGCTGTGTGATAATCAGCAAGCTCCCTTATGCTGTCTAGAACAAAGCTTTGGAATGCATCTCTTTACTGGCTGAAACAAGTTCTTGGCAAAATCCTCTGGAGAACAACAGGCAGAATGCAGGGTGAAAGCTATATAGAATGTGTCTGGTTCCAGCTGTGGTGGATTTGGTGCAAATTCTGCTGCTGGATCTAGGAATTCTATTGGAAGGCTTACATTGCATCAAAACCAGAATGAATTTGGGTTCTTCCAATATCTGGCATTAATCTGTTCCTCCAAACAAGGGGCTCTTGGATTTCCTGCTGTCATAGGTGTGGGGATGTGCCAGCTACAGGTGGGCATCCTTGGTCAGCAACTGTGTGAGATTTACCCAGAAAGATTTGTTCTGCTGGGATTTCATACCCTCTGAGGTTCTGGGCCCCAAGGGTGCTGAGGGCTGGGGCTGAGAGAACCTGAGCCAACCTCTCACCGGGGCTGGTTCTGGTGTGTTGCACAAAACCCTTTGCTTTTGGCCTTATATGGCAGCAGATGCAGGAAGGCTGAACTCGTGGGCAGCCACTGATCCCTGGAGCAGTATTCCTAAACTGAGTCAGCTGCAGCTCAGGGATTCCTTACCAGTGAGGTGAGAGCACAGAGAGCAAAGGATGCTGTGCTTGGAGAAGTTCAAATGGAGCAGACTGCAAAGCTTTTGCCATCCTGTCACACTGGCAAGGAAGAGAGAACAGAGGAGGATACATCTGCTTATCATCCACTTAGTCCAGACACAAATCCCTGCTGTCTCCTTCCCATCCTCTGCCCAGATCCTACATCCATGGTAGATATCCTGCTGTATGGTAGTCGGACAGTGTCTCCTGGGTGCTAAAAGAATTTGCATAAAGACACACCAAAGTATCCCACAGCACACAGGTGGGCTTCCTCTGCACTGTCCCATGTTTCCAGAACTAGTGTAGAAAGCACCTGTCTTACAGAAGGCAAGTGATCTAATTAGTCCCAAGCAGAGATCCAAGGTCTGGGGGTGAGGCATGACATTTCCAGCTCTCTTTCCCTGACATTGCAGAAAGAAGGGCTTGGAGAAGCTGTGTCTCTGCTGCCAGCACAATTTTCCATTATGTTAATTTATTTATATTCAGAAAATGACGTTATTTTCAGGTTATGACACTGAGGGTGGCACAGACAGTCTCCAGCCCCTGATGCCATCCTGTGCTCTACTTTGCAGATACTACAAGGAGTACATGGAAATGGAGAAAGAAATGTGCTGCCAGATGTTTGACCCTCTCAATTCTTATGGCTGAGAAGAAATCAAGGTAAAATCATAGCTGTAGTGTTCTCAGGTGGGGAACCTGCTTCTGCTCTGTGGGGTAGGCTTTTGGAGGCAGAATGGAAAGTGATGGGAGTGTGTGGAGAGGAAGGGCAGGATGGTGGGGTGGAACACTGCTACATCGTCACCTTGAAGAATCTTTCCTCTGAGGTAAAGCATGTTTGGGACAGAGACCTGGAACTGGCAGCAGTTGAGTAAGTTTGGCTTCTTGTTTCCTGTGCTGCTCATCCCAGCTATTCGTGGTCAGAGCCAGGGGCTGAAATAGCTCTGTAGTCTTGTTTCTCTGCCAGTTAAAAGAAAGGAGAAAAAAAAAAAAAAAGAAAATTCCTGTCAAACTTGAGAATTGGATTTCCTCCTCCCTTCCAGCACTTCTCTCTGGAGCTGTTGGAATGCCTCACTTCAGAAAAATCTAAATATTTTATTTCTGGGTTTTTTTTAAGTATTAAAAAGAAGTCTGTTTGGATAGAAAATTTCAAGTAGATGTTTTGGACTCTTTAAAGCCTTAAATCTTCTAGCAAAATTGACAGGTTTATAAATGCACCAAGGCTCTTTGATCCTTCTTTTTTTTCCTCAAAATCTTCAGGGGCGTGCAAGCAGGAGCAGAAATCTTTTCTGGTCTCTTGCTTTTGGGGGAAACCCTAGGGAAAGAATTCTCGAAAATTACAAAATCCTTCTGTCATGAACCATCCCCAGCTCAGGGTCGTCAGTTTGATGCTCTTGTCTCTCCTGCAATACAGACAGTATCTTTTGCTAGCAGAAAATTAATATTGGCAGACTTTCCATCAGTTCTGATGTTTTAAGGTTGTCTCTTTGTGCTTGTGAGGAAGGTAAGGCAGTGTTTGAGGAAGAGGTTGGATTGAATGCTGCTTCCTAAAGGAACACAACCTTCTCCTGACTGGACATGACTCCTTGTGGAGTCTTTACCCTTCCTGCTGCCCCTGTGCTCAGGTCCAAGCTGGGCATGTGACCTCAGAGAACAAATCATCCTGCCCTGGGTTTGGGATGAGACTTACTAAGTGTGTGAGCAGGTGCCTGCCCCCAGGAAAGGAGCTCTGAGAGGGGATGTAAGACTGATGAGGTCTTGTGCAGAAAGTCTGTGGCTCTAGATTTGGCAAGAGGCTCTGATTTTCCACTTGCTGTGTTTCAGGAAGTTGCAGTTTGGAAGCATATAGGATCTTGGGTCTCATCCCTGGTGGTGTCTGACCTGGGAAGCTCTTGTGTGGGTCTGGGATCACCTGGGCCTGGTTTGTGGTGGGAGTCAGGGTGACTGTCAGGAAGGTTATGTGGCTACTTGTTTCCCAGAAAGCATCTTGTGAAGATGCTGATTTCCACACATCTGGTGTAAGTAAAACCAGTGATATTGGTTAGAGGAGACTGAGAAGTACAAAGGAAAAGGGCAAAATCTGTCCTGTAGGCAAGCTTAAGTGCTGGGCTGAACTGCTTATCAGGCAGTTTATCCACTGACTGCTCTGTGTGGTGTTGTTCCACCTCACACAGCTGATGGACAGCTGTCAGTCAAAAATATTTCCAATCTTCCTTGAAGTTGATTTTTGTTGCAGTATTAAAAGGAAACTAAGTCTCCCAGATGAACATAAATCACTGGGACCCAAACAAAAATCTACTATTCATTCACAGCAAAAGAAGTCCTTTGCTGGAGGAGGTTCCTGCAGGGCCCTGTGCGAGCTGAAGGTTGGGCTGCTGCTTTAAAACTTCATTATTCATTCAGAGAGGAGCAAAGCAGTTCCAGCAGGAGCTCCTGCTCCCTGTCAAAGACACTGGGAATTGGTCAGAATTGAGGCAGAACATTCTTTAATGCTTTCCAACAGCTTTGTACCAATTAAGTTAAGGGTACAGGCTGTACTGGGGCAGTTTGGCAGGCCAGCTTCATCTGTTCTCTTAGACATTGAGTGAGGAGATGGGCTGGAAATGCTGTCTGCAGTCCATGGTTAATGGACCAGTGGAATCATAAAAGTTACAGAAAACCTCCCTATATACCAGCTGACAGGTGCTTGTGGGGCACTGAGCTGACCTGGGGTCCAGCTCCTGAATGGCTCAGAGCTGTAATTGTAGTATCTCTTCCCTCCTGAACATTGCTGCATCCATCCTTTGCTTCAGAGCTCTTTCCAAGCTGAGACTGCTATGCCTTTGCTGAACCCTGCTGTGTTCCAGGAACAAAGTTCATTTCTCTGTACTGAATAATCCAGGGCTGTTTTGTATAATAACACTCAAACCTGGGTGTACCTGAGCATCTTCCTTCTGCCTGATATTTTTGTAGTGATAAGACAAGGGCGAATGACTTTAAGCTTTAAGCACTTTAAGAGGGAAGATTCAGATTGGATATAGGGAGGAAATTCTTTCCTCCAATGAGGGTGAGGAACTTTCTTACCAGTGAGAGTGGTGAGAGCCTGGCACAGGTTGCCCAGAGGAACTGGAGCTGCGCCATCTCTGAAGGTGTTCAAGGCCAGGCTGGATGTGGCTCTGAGCACCCTGGTCTAGTGGAAAATGGCCCTGCCCATGGCAGGGAGTGAAACCATTGAGTTTTAAGGTTCTTTCCAACGCAGACTATTCCATGATTTCTGTATCCCCTGCCAGCTGTAGAGCCTAGTTCTTCTAATTGCCACAAACATCTTGCTCAGAACACGTTTCCTACCTTTTCAATGGAATTTTGGGTCAGAATAGATCTTCCCTTTGGCAAAATGCAAGGCTGCTTGTCGTGTTTCTTGGGGGAATTCAGAACTCAGAGGGAGACAGAAGCACAAACTCCTTTTTAAATCCATCCTGCTGCAGTTCCTTCCAAATGCCTTGGGTCTCAAGCTGGCCCCTCTGAGGGTTTGGTTTATTTACCTGTCTCTGCTCACGTTGTGTGATGCAGGTATGTAGAGCCTAGTCTCCTGGGATGTGCAGAGCTTGAAGTCCTCTTTGGTGTCCCCTAAACTGCACAATGGTGGGCTGAGGCCTCTGGCTTTTTGGAACTTTTTGTTATGTTTTGATTGAAAGACCCATCAGGAAAAATAAAAATAACTTTCCCATTGTTGTGTTGCTGTGTACTCTCTCTCATAAGAGAACTAAATCATGAGGACTGGAGACAACTTCCCTAGGAATGTCTGGATTCTAGTAGAGGGTCCTTGGTGATAGTTCTGTCCCAGGAGGATGAGTTTCTGCACTCTTATTTTTGGTCATAGGTGAGCCAGAGTTGAAAGCTTGTCTCTAATATGTACCTCAGCTCACTACACAGAAGAAGTGGTCCCAGGAGTTGGGAACACACAGGGAGATGTTCCAGTGAAAACAAACAAGACTGAAATTATGACAGGAAGCAGTAACTTTGAGGTCAAACTGGTGATTGCCATGAATAGCAAGTTCTACCAGTTCTGGAGGCATTAATGGTGAGAATTGGCTGCAGAACTGAGGCTGTGTCAGCAGGTAGAAGTGACTATAATTGGGCTTAAAATCAGCAGCAGTTGCCAGTTGAACTGACCTACTAAGCCGCAGGAGATTTGCAAATAAACTGAGAAGTCTGTGCATAACACAATCAAACTCCTGCCTTGGGAAAGCTCCAGACTTGGAATAAACAGTGACTTGCTCCTTCCCCTCCTGCTCTCTCTTATTCCTGAGCAGAACTGAAATGTACCTCCTGCTGATTCTGTCCCTCCCCACTGCAGCTGAACAACAGAGAACCAGCGATTCACTGCTCATTTAGAATATGCAAATTACTGTCCCACTGAGGTGTCCTGTGCTGCAGAGGAAATTGTTAAATCTCTGCTTTCTGCTGAGCCTTGCCAGGTGAGGGGGAAGGCTTGAAGGGAGGACTTAATTAAGCATTCTCCTTGTTAAGCAAAGGAAGGAGAAAGGCTTTAATGACATTGTTTTCCTTCCAGCTCTCTCCTCTTCTAGCATCTTGCACTTTCTTCTGAGGATTTCTGCAGCTCCTGCCTGCAGTAGTAACTGTAATACCTCTCTGAAAGGATCCTGTGCTCTGATCTCTTCTGGAAACTGAAGAAATTACTGTGGTACCTGGTTTTAGGGATCCCTGATACGCTTTCCTAGGACTGGACGTGGGTCTGGATGCACTAGGTTTGGCTTTGCCCAGACTGGGAGGTCTGGCCGGGATTTAGAAGCCGCAAGATGATGTGAAATGGAAAGGACAGAGACCTGTGCAGTATCCCAGTGTCCCACTGTGTGCCTGTCCTTCAAGGCTGTGGTGAAGTATTGGTCCTCCAGCCTTATCCAAGGATAGGCCCTCTGTTCTCTCTGATTTAGGAAGCGCCTAAAGCCTGTAATTTCCTTTTGTGCTCAAACACAAGTCTCCCAGTTGAGGTATTAGCAGATTCCTGGCTGCAGTGCTGAAAGGAAACTTTGCTGGGGCCAGGTGGGGTTGGGCTCTGCTCTCAGGTGATAAGTGACAGGACAAGGGGAAACAACCTCAAGTTGTACCAGATTTAGATTAGATATTTGGGGAATTTTCATGGAAAGGGTTGTAAAGCATTGGAATAGACTGCCTAGAGCAGTAGTGCAGTCACCCTTCCTGTAAGTGTTCCAAAAATGCGTGGATGTGGGACTTCAGGACATGATTTAGTAGTGAATGTGGTGGTGCTGGATTGATGGTTGGACTACATCTTAGAGGGTTTATCCAACCTTCTGTGATTCTGTTCTCCTCCAGCTTCTGCCTGTTAAAGGTCACCTGGCACTGGTCCTGGGAAGGCCAGGCTGAGACCCCAAGGGATATCCCTGTGTGAGGTTTTACTTCTCAGAGCCTTTGCTAGCAGCTCTAATATAAAATATTCTGGTGTTACAAATCAGTAGAGCATGACAATGGTGTTGGGCTCTTTCCATTCCCGTGATAACAGCTGGTTTATCATGCAGGTGGAGTTTAAACAGAATTGGCTGTGTGTAAGATGGGAATTTTCTTACGAAGTTTTAGCTTTGCAGAGCACTCAGAGTCACTATCCCTCACTTCCCACAGCAAGTAGGCACATGATTATCCTAAGT